TGAGCATTAAAATAAAAAGTTGGCAATCTTGCCATGGTCTTAAGTTTTTGTTTGATGCTTTACTGGTATGTAAAATCCAGAAGTCTGAAAACCATTGAATAATCAAAATTCTCATTTTATAAATGCAACAGCTGAGGCCCAGAGGTAACATCCCAGTTTGATCAAGCACTTGATGGTGGAACAGGACAAGCCCTAACCACCCCATTTCTGTCTCTACCTTGTCCTAAGGCAGGTTCCTCTCCACCTCAGCACTTGCCAAACTGGTTCCTATCGAAAGAAGCTGTCTTTCAAAATCTAGCTTCTATTTGGGTGAAGAGAAGGGCAATGTACCAAATGTGAGTGATCAACACGATGGCACTGAGGAAGAGGAAGACATAGGGGGATGCATGGGAGGTACAGACAACAAAGATGAAGGCTTTTCACATACAATACTGCGTTGTCAGCAATGGCAAACATTGATCTACAGGTAGATAGATGGGTGGGTGGACAGGATGAACAATTAGGTATGTCTATGCATGGGGGAGTGTTAAATGACTATGTATAGGGTTGGCAGACTATGTTTCTACAAGTATATTTGTATGTTCTGTAAGAATTTCTAGATATATAGTAGGCTGACAAGGAACAATGTTGTACTCATTTCTTGGCCACAGCCAGCTACCCAGAGGAAGCAACTAGTTGGCCTGTGGGCTTGGGAGCATGGTCTCAGGGGACATCAAACTCAATTGGCATCACATACTATACAAAAACATTGTTTCACATCCTACTTTGCTGGGTAGTGACTGGGATCTTAAAAGCTTGCAAGCAGCCATCTAGATGCAATGATGGGTCTCTCTGCATCCAGAGCAAAGAAGAATGAAGAAAATCAAAGATGCATGGAAACAATTTGTCCAAGGGACTTGTACACCATGCAGTCCTCAGTCTATATGACTGTGAGACCAGAGGAACTAGATGGTGCCGGGCTACCACTGTCAACCACTCAGAGGGGAATCTATGTAGGAGATACTGGATAGAGTGGGAAAACAATGTGGAACAAAACTCAAAATGATTAAAAAAAAAAGAGAGAGAGACCAGGTTTGCTTGTCTGATAGAGCCCGGTGGAACCCCTGAGACTATAGCCCCTACCTGCCCTTCAGGTCTGGAATTGAACCCACTCCTGTGGCTTCCACTCAAACAAAAGACAGGCATATGAGCTGAACACTTGAAGTAGATACACTCGTTGGAGAGATCAATCATGGGAGAATAGAAGGGTTGTCTGTGTATGCCGCATGGGAGGGAAGGACACAGGGTAGAGGTGGCTGTGGGGAGGAAGTGGGAGGAGAGCTGTTGCATCGTAGGAGATTACAGTCAATATCATGAGAGAAAGTGTATTTGAACTGCTGTATGGAAGATGAGTTTGCTCTGTAAACTTCCACCCAAATCACAATTAAAAAAAAAAATCTAGCACCCCAACATCATTTGCACCTGGCACAATTTGCACATGCCAATCCTATACCAGATTTTCAGTCCCACCCATACCTACTTCTCAACTTTCTCTTTTACTTCTAAAACAATTGACTTTGGAGGAATTACTCAGATTCTGCATCAAACTAATCATTATAGACTTTATTGTCCATTGTAGTTATTTCTGCGTTTCTGCTTCTCCTCCTACATTATGAACACTTGAAGAGCAGTTGTTTTATCTTCTAGCATCTAGCACACTGCTACCACATAAGGCACTCAAATATGCATGGAATTAATGAACAAATGAATACATTCTTTGCAGAGAGAATACTTTAATAATTTCAAAAATATAGAAACTCCTTCATTGATTGGGGTCCTCTTGATTTGCAAAAGGACAATCAGGAACCAGGGGATGGGGCCTGAATGGGAAAGAGGAGGAAGCCTGAGAGAATCATCTATGCCTGGGGCTCCAATCAATATTAATTGTTAACAGGGAGAGAAGAAAAAGGACATGAAGTGGAGGCAAAAGGAAGAAGAAATGAAGAATCCTCAGGTGGGGGTAGTAGTTCTGGAATGACTCCTCAGCAAGCCTGCAACCTGTCTCATGCCAGGTGACATCCTGTCATCCAATAGGAGAGTGGCCGACCTGAACAGTGCAGTTTCCACTCTATCCTGTGGGGGAGAGGGGGGAGAAACAGTACTTGCTTCTCATTTAGTAGTTTCTTCTCCATACACATGACACAGCTCATGGTGAGTCTTTCATGCAGGGAACCACTCAGAATTCCCTTCATTCCTAACTTTCTGGTTTGTCCTTTAGTGGCCCCTCTGTTTCTTCCTTTAGACTTCCCTCATCCCTGGTGTTTATCCTCTTCCCATTTTTCCACATTTTCAAATCCTATCTCCTGAAGGGGCACAGCATTATCTTAGATGACTGAATGTGACTGACAAAAAAAATCCCATGGACTCTCCTTTCAGAAAGGATAAGCTCTAATGATGATCAGTGTTCCTTCATTGGCTATTTTATTTTACAGTAGGCAAGGCATTTAATTCCTTCTGTCCTCTCAGTCACTTGTAGATGCAGTCATAGCAGATTTATGTATCCAGTTTGAAGGTCAGGAAAATTAAGTGCCCATCCCATGCCAGCTTTGGAGGTATCTGCCCCGCTGATGTGTTTAATGGAAAATATTGCTTTCAATTGCGAAGACAGGGCCCCTGTGGTGGTCATGATTGTGTTGCCTTACTCCTCCCATGGCTACAGCTGATTGGACCAAAGGGAAACACGTGATCCAAACTGAACCAATCAGATTCCCTATCTCAGGGACTTGGATTGGATCTGTGCCTAGTTATCTATGGGTGCCTAGAACTTAAACCCATGAACTTGAGGCAACCTTAGTTAGTCTTGTACACTAGGGAGCAAAGAAACCTGGTCTGCACAGAGCAGTGAGCAAGTGCACCAAGAAGCAGAAGCCTGCTCAGTCTAGAGCCCTCATTCCATTCTCTTCCTGAAGTCCAGCTGCACCCCTGTGTTTGCACTCAGTGAGAAATCTTTTCCTCACAGAATAAATTTCTCTCAGCTAACTCAAAGTTGTTTTCTGTTATTGCAACCAAAACAGTTTTGTTAATACTCTACCAGGAAAGAACCTAGGTCTTCTAACCGGGACTTCCAAGCCCTTGCATTACA